ACCTCTAGCAGAGACAACTCCAGTAGCAGAGTCACCAGCTCCAGCGCCTCCCGCGGCAGGGCCCCTAGCTCCAGCAGCGCGACCCTGACGGCCAACGTACCACTCACGCAGCTGCTGTGGGGAGAGAGGGAGTCGACGACGAGAGTGGAGCGGCGAGGCACCAGCGGATCGACTACGAAGACGGCCGCTCCAAGGTGACTGCTCACCAGACGCCTCAGCGCCTCCAGGTGCAGCACCCCCAGACTCCTCACACTCAGGCTCAGCACCTCCAGGCTCCGCACCCCCAGGCTCTGCACCCCCAGGCTTCGCACCCCCAGGCTCAGCACCCCCTAGCTTAGCACCCCCAGAAGCAGCACCCCGAGCAGGACCACTCTCAGCAGGACCTGAGTCACCAGAGACCTTAACCGGCGCAGTCAGAGGAGGAGGGTCTACCTGAGACACACCTGAAGGAGCAGGACCAAGAGCGGGGAGGGGATCTACCTGGGGAGCACTTGGAGCGAGGAAGAGCGGCGGGGGGGGGAGAGGGGCAGTGCGGTAGGGGAAGAAACGGTAAAAGGGAGCCGACTCGTCGAACGTGACGTCCTGAGAGGGGAAGACACGGCGCGAGGTGGGGTGGTAAAATTGCCAACCAGCCGTGTCAGAGACAAAGCCAAGGAAGACACAGGGAACAGCGCGGGCGGAGAGCTTGTCCGCGGTGGTATCGCGGACAAAGGCACGAGCACCCCAGACCCAGAAACGCGACACATCGCCAACCTTCCCCGTCCACAGCAGTGTGGGCGAGGTCTCCGGCAAGGAGACACGGGGCCAGAGGTTGAGCTGATGCGCGGCGTACAGGACTGCAAACGGCCACAGAAAATGGGGGGCAGCCGCATGGATCATGGAGGTACGAGCGACCTCCATGACTAAGCCAATGCGGCGCTCAGCAACCCCATTCTGCTGCGGAGAGGCCGGAAGCGTGAACGTCTGGCGGATGCCGTGCTCCGCACAGAAGGCTGCCAAGAGGTCTGAGGAGAACTCACCACCTTTGTCAAAGTGCAAACGCAGGACCGAAAAGTCCGTCGCGAACTGCTCGCGGAGCTGGAGACAAACAACGCGGATCCAAAGGATCAAACCATCAGGGACCTTCCCCTTGCGCTGCAAGGGGAAGACCGTGGTGTAACGCGTGTAGTCGTCGACGACCAGCAGGAAGTACCGCTCGTGGCCCTGTCCACGGACACCGGCTGGGCCCCACACGTCCAGGTGGAGAGTCTGCAGGGGAGCCTCGGTGGGAGGGAACGAGGAGGAGTGAGGAGCGACGCGCTGCCGCCCCTCGACACAGGGAAGACAGGGAGGAGCAGGCGAGGGTGGGAGGGGAGGGAGAACCCTGGGAAGACCAGAGACAAGGACACGGCGGTGCATGCTACGAAGGCGCTGCACCGAGGGGTGACCAAGACGGTGGTGCCAAAGGAGGGTCTGGTGCGACAAAGCGCGACACGAGCAGGGGGCCGCTAGCTGACTTGACGCAGACGCAAACGCAGCGACCCGAAGGAACATAGTAGTCGGTGTGTACAAACTCGAGCCAGGCGCACGGCTAAACGTGGCCAGGTGCCGGCCCGTCCGGGAGCACGTACAGTGGGTCACGCGCTGACCTCCAGGAGTGAACTAGTCAACCCAGTGGTCGTGGAGTTCAGCACCACTCACCAAGTTCGTAGAGAACGAGGGGAGGTGAAGACCTAACAAGGAGCCAGACGGGACCACCAGACACGGCAGGACCGTGGACGAGTGCGCAAGGACTGGACCCCCAGAGGGGTCTGCCAGGGAGACTGGAACCGGTCGGCTGAGCTGCGTGAGGGTGGTGCAGTCGCAAAAGAAGGAGCGGGAAGCACCTGAGTCAAGTGTGAACGTGTACAAGGCCTCAGCAGGCGTAGTACCAGAGAGCGCAGACTCACCAGCACCTGGAGCAGCAGCCTCATCGGCACCCAGAGCAGGAGACGCACTAGCACCTAGAGCAGCAGCCTTACCAGCACCTAGAGCAGGAGACGCACGAGCACCTAGAGCAGTAACCTCACCAGTTCCGAGAGCAGCAGGCTCTATACCTGGGTCAGGCGGTACGCACAGGTAACAGGCACGGTCAGCACTAGTAGGCAATGCATACATAGCAGTGAGAATAGCATCATAGTGAAGAACAAATATATCTACCCTCTGCCCAAGCAGCTCCACCCAGTCGGAGAGCTCAGCCTCGTCGCCAAACTCGGTACGCCAGGCGTCGCTCAGATGGGCGAAGCAGCGGGACTGTGTGTGACTAAGCGTCCCGCAAGCCTGACCAGTCTGATCTTCTATGCGAATGACGTACGGGCAGCGAACGGTACTCAAAGACCCTCTACTCTGAGCGTACCACTCACGAAGCTGCTGGGGCGTAAGTGTCCCACGCGGACGCCGCTGCAGCTGCAGCTGGCCACTGCCAGACGCTCTCGACTGGCCAGCTCTAGGGCGACAGCCACGACGGCTGCCGCCACAACCCCAACTAGCGTACCACTCACGAAGCTGCTGGGGCGTCAGAGACTCGTGGTGATGTCGCTGGAGCTGCATCTGGCCACTACCAGTAGCAGCAGTTGCAGTGGTAGTGGCAGTAGTAGCAGCAGCAGCGCGGGCAGGGCAGGCGCGGCAAGCAGGTAGGCAGACAGGCAGGCAGGCTGGCTGGCAGGCAGGCAGGCAGGCTGGCAGGCAGGCAGTGCGCTAAGAAGGCAGGTGCTCACCAGTAGCGGGAAGAGCAGGCGCTTGCCGGGCGAGCAGGGCCGGCGCTCGGCTGGCGGCAGCACGGGGTCCAGAGGCGGCGTCGCGGGTCCAGGAGCGGCTGCACGGAGTCCAGGGGCGGCTGCTTCAGGGGCCAGGGGCGGCTGCTCTGGGCCCAGGGGCGGTTGCTCGAGGGTCCAGGGGCGGCTGCTGCAGGGGCCAGGGGCGGCTGCTCAGGGTCCAGGGGCAGCTGCTCGAGGGTCCAGGGGCGGCTGCACCAGGGGCGGCTGCTGTAGGGGCCAGGGGCGGCTGCTGAGGGTCCAAGGGCAGTTGCTCGAGGGTCCAGGGGCGGCTGCTTCAGGGGCCAGGGGCGGCTGCTCTAGGTCCAGGGGCGGCTGCTCGAGGGTCAAGGGGCGGCTGCACCAGGGGCGGCTGCTGCAGGGGTCAGGGGCGGCTGCTCTGGGTCCAGGGGCGGCTGCTCGAGGGTCCAAGGGCGGGTGCACCAGGGGCGGCTACTGTAGGAGCCAGGGGCGGCTGCTCCAGGGGCGGCGTTGGGGCAGGGCGGGGCCGCATCGGCTGTCAGAGCGCGGCACGAGGGCCGTAGGGGTGCGCGAGGGCGGGGCCGAGCCGCGCGCTGCCAAAAAGGGGCGGCGCGGCGGGCAGGGAAGGGCGGCTTGCGGGCCCTACAGGTGCGCGACGGGCCAGGCAAAGTCGCGCGCTGCCAGCAGGGCAGCGCGACTGGCTCCCATGGGCGGCGCGAAGGCCTTAAGGCGATGCGACGGGCGGGGCCAGGCCCTAGGGCGGCGTGACGAGAAAATAAGACAAAATTAAACGCGCGTCGCGCGGCTAGCAGGGCGGCGCGGCGGGTGGAGCAGCTCGACAGGCAGGGGAAACCCTAAAACATGAGAGTTAACCGTGGGCCCACTAGGAAATTTGGTCCTAAGACCTAAGTGCTCTTAATACCATGTTAGAGTAGGTTGGTAGCAGGCCCTACGATATCAGGAATTTTACCCTGAAATTCCTGATTTTCAGGGTTTTTTTTTTACCTACCTTGAAAATCCAGTGTTCAGCTTTACCTAGGGCTGATTTTTCAGCCTTTACATGCCACATGACTCTGAACTTTCAGCAATTTTTTTGAAGTGACACTGATGCCTTTACGTCGTAACGAGTTTGACCCTGAAAGCGAATCCTACTAGGTACGAGTGTACTTGACCGGAAGTACTGGGAAAATCAGATTCCCGCGGTGTCAGTAGGGCCTGTCGTTGACTATCGGACAATTTTGCCTACACTGATGGCCCCTTAGTTGGCGCGCCTGGTCCGTTCATTGGCCACATTTGCAACATTAAGTGACTTGACCAATTACAAGGTTGCAGCACAGAGATGCTGGCAGGCTGCGCTGCGATGCGAGGGATTCTGGCGGTCTAGGTCGTGCTGGCAAGCACTGATGCATCCACGCCCCCCAGCCGTGCTACCTGCCATCCAGCCTCACATCCCGTTCTGCTGTTTGCTTCCTTCCTAGTGTTTTTACTACTAGTAAAATAAAGACTACCGTACTAGTATCAGCCTTTTTCTGTAGGGAACACTGATGCATCAGACTTTTATTTTCAAGTAACACTGAGCTTTCAGGCTTTTTTTTTTAGGCGACCCTGACGATCAGGGTCTAGGGGCAGAGGGACCCTGATACGGTACCCTTACGTGCCTAAAAGTGAATCTGAGGGCCTGGTTGGTAGGGATGATGTGCACTATGGAGAGAATTGGTACAAGGAGAAAACCCTAAGGGGTTATACACCACAGTATCTACCCCACTACAGCCTACCCACAAATATAATTTATACGCATACGTTTGACAGAGGGGAGAGGCGGAAAAGGGATGGATGGAAGTTGGAAAGAGGGAACAGAAGAGGGGGGACAGAGGGACGGGAGACTGGAAAAGGGGGGGGGCTTGGAGGGTCGGAAACAGCAAGATGGGAAGGGGAAAGCCGCGTAAAGAAAAGTGAATGCTGCGCGTAGGGCACGGGGAAATGGGGAACCTGTGCTTAGGGAAGTGGGGAAGCTGCGCATAGAGAAGCTGAGGAATTGCACGTAGGGAAGAGGGGAAACTGTGAGTAGGGTGGGGGGGGGACTGCGAGTAGGGAAGGGGGAGGAACTGCGCGTAGGAAAAGGGGAGAGGCGAAGAGGGAAGGAAGGCGAGAGGCGGAGGGACAGAAGGGAAGAGAGCAACGGGAGCGACGTTGGCGGCGGGAGGGACGGAAGGGGGGCGAGTGAGGCGGGAGGGAAGAAAGGTCTCTTCAGTCCTCCTCCCTACTCTTCGGAGAATGGTCAGAGGGAAGGAAGGAGAGAAGCACGGAGAGGAAGGAGAGGGGCTGAATGGGAAGGGGGAGTAGTGCGTAGGGAAGGGGGAGCAGCGCGTAGGGAAGGCGGAGCAGCGCGTAAGGAAGGGGGAGCAGCGCGTAGGGAAGGGGGAGTAGCGGGTAGGGAAGGGAGAGTAGCGCGTAGGGAAGGGGGAGCATCCAACTCCGCGGCCTGCTGGAGAGGGGAGAGAGGAGGAACGGGTGGAAAATGGGGAGGGAGGAGGAACGGGGGGAAGAGGGAGTGAAGGCGAGAGGGAGAGGCGAGAGATGGAAAGGAGGGAGGGGGCAAAGAGGCAAGGGAGGAGAGGAGAGGAGAGGGACTGGAGGAGAGGGGCGAGAGGGACATGTGTGATTGAGTCGTGTATGGCGCGTGTGGGTGACATGTGTCTGCGACGTGTGCGGATGACGGGAGTGAGAGCGCGACGGGAGTGAAGGCGCGATGGGTTTGACGGCGCGACGGGAGTGACGGCGGAACGGGAGTGAGTGTGTGAGCGACGGGATTGAGTGTGAGAGCGGCGGGATTGAGTGTGCGAGCGACGGGATTGAGTGTGTGAGCGACGAGATTGAGTGTGCGAGACGGGATTAAGTGTGTGAGCGACGAGATAGAGTGTGCGAGACGTGATTAAGTGTGCGAGCGACGGGATTGAGTGTGCGAGCGACGGGATTGAGTGTGTGAGCGACGAAATTGACCGTCGAGGTGTCATAGCCGATTTCGCTATTGGCTATGCGGGTGTCGGCTAACGCGATATAACCGTCAGTAGCGACGAGTGATTCTTACTAGGGCGATCAATCGAGGCGTCATTCTGTATTTTCTGTTGGCTACCAGATCGTACTTGTTATGCGCGGGAAAGTCGACGGGAAGGGCCGTCATTATGTGTTACTAAAGTCTTAGCATAGTACGGAGATGGGCGTAACTATGCTTGGATAACGACGAGAACTAGGGCTATGGAGCCCACTATCTTACGAGTCAAGAAAGGTATTCTCGAGTTTCAAGTTCTGAAAGTGTGAACAGTTATACTTGTTCTTGTTTGTTTCTGGCGAGGCTCGTCGCTGTTTTTGCTGTTGACCATTTGGCCAATCACCTTCTGGCCCACCAAATCCCTTCTCGGTGGGTTGCGAGGGAGAAGCTTTCTCAACATGGTTACCCTATTCTTGACGAAATCAAGTTCAAGAAAATGAAGTTGAGCCCTTACCATTCTAGACTCGGGCTTTAAGCGCGACTCGGGATTTACTGTTTAAAGTTTAACCTAGATAGTCGAACACTTGTGTGCCTTGTGATACATGTGAAGCGAGGAACAACAGCTCGAGCTAAATGAATCTATATAGTCCTAGGTCGACCTAGGTTCAAATGGTAGAAGTTCAACAAAAAAAAAACAAGAGGCGACGAATTCGTCTTAGGGTTGCGAAGCGTTTTGCGTAATTATATAAATTTGTACAACTTCTAATTCTGTACATAATGCTGTAATATGACACTAAGTGGTACTTCCTCTCACCAGGAAAAAGGCAAAGTGCAGCGCGAACGAGTTTCGAACCAAAGACCTTCCGATTCCACTACATGCCTTGAACCACTGCTACAGCACAGATATTTGTTTTGAATAGCTAAATTATTTAGACATAAACAATTGCGACGAATCTGAGACTACCTTAGGGTTTGTTCGCCCTTTTTTTCTCCCGCTTCTCCTCGCTCGTCACGCTCTACCAACTTCTCCACCTACTCTAACTGCAACTTAGGTAAGAAGATCCCTCAACTTTAACTCCAACTAAATTAGATGCCTATTAGATAGACTAACATTTAGTCATTCCGTATCCTAGCCGTGTAAATGGATGAGTATTAGCGAGACTTAGTTGTTTAAACTTAGGTTCTCGGCCCTTTGTAAAGATTTCAGGTTCTCCTTCCTGCATAAGCTTGCATCTGTTTCTTCTATTCTTCATCCTTAAACTTTTCCTCTCGTCGGTTGCCTTTTCTTCATATTTGCATGTTTTAGTTCATTTTTTTCTCAACCTCGTCTTAGGTTGTACATAAAGATTGTAATAGGTTGCATGTTCAGTCCATTTCGTTCTCTCTCGCTCGTTCTCTCTCTCCCGTTCTCTCTCTCCCGTTCTCTCTCTCCCGTTCTCTCTCTCCCGTTCTCTCTCGCTCGTTCTCTCTCTCCCATTCTCTCTCCCGTTCTCTCTCGCTCGTTCTCTCTCTCCCGTTCTCTCTCTCCCGTTCTCTCTCTCCCGTTCTCTCTCTCCCGTTCTCTCTCTATCGTTTTCTCTCTCTCGTTCTCTCTCTCGTTCTCTTTCTCGTTCTCTCTCGTTTTCTTTCTCTCTCGTTCTCTCTCTCTCTCTCTCTCTCTCTCTCTCTCTCTCTCTCTCTCTCTCTCTCTCTCTCTCTCTCTCTCTCTCTCTCTCTCTCTCTCTCTCTCTCGTTCTCTCTCTCTCTCTTTCTTTCTCTCTCTCTCTCTCTCTCTCTCTCTCTCTCTCTCTCTCTCTCTCTCTCTCTCTCTCTCTCTCTCTCTCTCTCTCTCTCTCTCTCTCTCGTTCTCTCTCTCTCTCTTTCTTTCTCTCTCTCTCTCTCTCTCTCTCTCTCTCTCTCTCTCTCTCTCTCTCTCTCTCTCTCTCTCTCTCTCTCTCTCTCTCTCTCTCTCTCTCTCTCTCTCTTCGTTCTCCCTCTCTCTTGTTCCCTCTCTCTCGTTCTCTCTCTCGTTCTCTCTCTCGTTCTCTCTCTCGTTCTCTCTCTCTCTCTCTCTCTCTCTCTCTCTCTCTCTCTCTCTCTCTCTCTCTCTCTCTCTCTCTCTCTCTCTCTCTCTCGTTCCGTCTCTGTCGTTCTCTCGTTCTCTTTTGTCAAATCTCTCGTTCGTTCTCTCTCGTTCGTCCACTCTCTCGTTCTCGCTCTCTCGTCCTCTCTCTCTCTCTCTCTCTCTCTCTCTCTCTCTCTCTCTCTCTCTCTCTCTCTCTCTCTCTCTCTCTCTCTCTCTCTCTCTCTCTCGCTCTCGCTCTCGCTCTCGGTCTCCGTTGTTCTCGCTCAACGTATTTGTTATATTCTCTTCGTTCGTTTACTGTCTGGTCATGTGTTTTTCCCTTTGTTCTCGTTCTTTACTTTCGTTTTATGCCTTAGTACATTTTCTCCTTGTTATTTGTCAGCTCTAACCCTTCAATGCTCATGGCGTTTTTCTTGGCCCTTGTATTGTTTCATTTGTTTCTTCATTATTCCTTTTTCTTGTAATTTCATTATGCCTTGTTATTTCCCATTTGCCTTCCCTTCCTCAACCCAGCTTTGTCTTACTTTTCAGGCAGTCGAGCTCAATATGAGAAGTAGACTGATATTGCTTGTGACTTACAGTATAGGATACATAATGTCTTGGTGATTTAGGTTTCTATTTCATATGCGGTTAATATGCTTTGTCAGTTGGCTTCGTGCGTGCGTGTCTGTGTGAATGTGTATGATCATGTGTATGCGTTGTGTTGTGTGCGTATGCGTTTTCATTCATGTTTCCATTGCATTAATAACACATGTCTATGGGGTTTAAAAATTGGGATCAAACTATCATTTCCGAGAAGGTTCTTTGCGCACTCAGTGAGTGTGTCCATTCGAACTGGATTTGATGGAATTGACCTGTTTATTATATCACACAGATTGTGTTGTTTCATGTAACAGTTGGATGATTCAGAAATTATGCTATTGAGCTCCCCCCCATGCTAGGCAGGGGATGCGGTAGCATAGGGTCTGCGTCAATTAACTGTTACGCACTTCCATCATGCTGTGCATTTATTTCATTACGGTACCGGTAGTACCGTATATGCATTATACTTATGCATTTGCATTTACTTCATCTACTTATAACAACAGCAGACATATGCATCACGGAATAAACAGTTATGCATTCACAGTACATCATTTTGGCAACTCATGAAATATAGGTTCAGTCAAAGTAAACTAGGAAATGAGAAAGAATGTGGTTCAGCACGTGGTAAATTGACGCGGCAGATACATAGCAGTCAGTCATTTAGCTAGTACCGTTCACTATATTTTTTCCCTCTATTTTTTAAAGGTATTGAGGATTGAAAAAAAAAATTGTACATAACGATTGTAATAGGTTGCTTCGCAACCCAAAAAAAAAAACAAGTCTTGCAAAACACTATATTGAGAAAGCTTGCTTTCTTTTTCTTATCAATTGGCATCGTTCTCATTACAAATGGCTTATTACAACATTTGCATCAACGTTGAGCACAAGCTGGTGCAATCGAATAACACTAGCTAAGATGTACCCTATCCAAGTGGCATTAGCAAGGCGGTTTACTCTGGGGTGGGTGGTGGGAGTGTTGAGTGAGCCGTTTGAAAATTGAGAAACGTGGGTGGAGGGAAATGAACTCCAACCCACGGTTTTTGTATTTGGAGAAGAGCGTTTAGCGCGCTTCGACGATGCCAATTGTGTAGTACAAGCAGCTTCGCTTTCACAATACACCATTTTAAAAAACACAATGTGTGTTTAAAAATTATAATATTGAGAAAGCTTGCTTTCTTATTCTTATCAATTGGCATCGTTCTCATTACAAATGGGGTCTCTGAGACATGGGCAGCGGGGGCCTCCGGTTGCGTACGAGTGCCTCTGAGTGTTGTGCCGACGACGCTGCATGCGTCAGGTCTTGTAGGTTACGGGAGGCTTCGATAAGAGGCTCGACGTATGGTGTAACATACATTTCCTTTGCTGAGTCGCTTCGCCATCTGCCCAGCCGTTTGAAGACCCTGTCTGGCACGACCGTATTGGCTGCTACTGTGGCTGCACCTTTTCGGAAAGAATGTGTGCCGAGCTGCAGGTCTCCAAGGCCCACTTTTGCGAAGGCTTCCTTGCACCAGTTCCGGATCGTGGTGTATGAGGGTGGCCTTGCTTGGCCCCCGCTGGTTGAAGCGTGGCCGAAGTCCCGAATCAATGGTCCCTCTGACTGTGGGCCATAGCCGGCCAGTTGGATGAAGCGTCGGGTGCAGCGCACTGGGCAACAAGGGTCTCTCGTTGCTGCAATGGGAATCCAAGTGCCATGACCAGCCTGATCGGTCTTGGAGTGTGGTATGAGAATCCACATTACCTCGTCGTCGAATTGGATGTCTTGCCATTTTATGGCTGCCAGGTCCGAATATCGCAGGAATCCTGAGTACATGAGGATGGGGATCAACCCTTTCTGAAACGTCGCTGGATCGTCGGACTGCAAGTAACTCGCGGCCATGTCCCGGACTTGTTGGATCGATACGGGTTCCTTTATACGAGTAGGGCGAGGGCAGTGTCGTTTTGCACAGACACGGACTTGGGTGGTGAACGGTCCGGTTGTCGGGCATTTGCTCCCAGTCATGCGATGAGCGAAGCTGACCGCCGAGCACGTCAGCTGCACTACGGACAGGGTGGCTTTGCGTCGGATTGCGTGTACCAGGTAGAGCGCGAGGGTCATGTCGGATGCCGGAAGAAATGGGAGGTTCACTTTTGTGCAGAAGGCTCGAAACTTGGCCCAGTATGGTTCGTATGTCCGGATCGTAGAATCGGCGCGAGATTGCGCGAGCATGTTGATCATTTGGTCGTGTAACTTTGGGAGCAAATCTGAACACAGGGCGTTGATGTTTTGAATTAGTCAAATGCCATTCTCAGTGCAATAATTGGGCTGTGCGGTAGTCCCATGCCTGAAAAAGCATTGGAATGGGACCCTGCGTCTAGGCATTGGCTTCCGTGTGTCAGAGGGATGTGCGCGTGGATGTGTGGAGCCCAAGTGCATGGGGAGGGTTGCAAAAGTGGCCACCAGCTTGCGCCTGGCCAGTGCGGAACTATCAGTGTGAGTGATGCATGGGTGCGTTGTGCGTGATGGAGGACGGCTGGGACCAGTTGGGGCGGGGGGAAGGCGAAGTTGTTTTCGGGTGTCCACGCGATCGAGAACGCATCAACTGCGATGGCTTCTGGGTGGGGAATCTTTGTGCAGAAGCGCGGCAGTTGGGTGTTGCGGGAGTTTGGGAAGAGGTCGATGGAGTGGGGCCCCCAACGACGTTCCAAGATGCGAAACCACGGCGCTTTCAGCGCGTAGTCGTCGTGGTCGACCATTTTTGAAAGTTCGTCGGCGTGTGTATTGAGCTCGCGCGGAATCCATTCGATGATCAAGCGCGTGCCAAGCTCCATGCATGTTCGGATGATGCTCTTGCATGCCGTTGCGAGGTCGGGGCTGTGAGAGCCGCCTTTTCGAAGGATGAAGAACACGCCCTGGTTGTCCACCCGCACGAGAACGTGTTTTTGCTTGATGTTGGTCGCGTATGTTTGGAGCGCCCAAAGGACGCCTTCGATCTCGCGTCGCGTGCTGGACGTTCCTTGTAGCGGCTCTGACATGGTTGCGCTAGCTTCTTCGAGGCCGCCCGGAAATGTGGTCAGCGTGGCGCCCCAACCATGAGAGCTGGCATCCACATGGATTAGTGCGTCGTAGCTGTTCCTGACGTGAAAAGGTGCGCCGTTGAAACGGTCAAATTCCTCGAGCCAAAATTGGAGCTCCTCTGCTGCAGATGGGGGGATAACCACGCTGCTTTTCCATGACGGTGCTTCGTTGATCACTTGTAACTTAGCGTGGCTGAATGCGCGAGCGGTCGCGCCAAGTGCGACACCCATCGATGCAAGCATGCCAGTGATTCTGGCCACGTGGCGGACCGGGACTGGTCGGCATGCCCTGCTTGCGCTCAGGAGGTCCCGGATGGTTGCATGTAGTGAGGCTCGCCGGTCGGGACCGATGGAGAATCGGCCGGTGTCGGTCTCCAGTTCTACGCCCAGGAATCGGAGATGTTGCGATGGTGACAGTTGTGATTTCTTCGCGTTTATCACAAGGCCTGGCTCTTTGAGGTCCAATATCACCTGCTGGCAGATTGCTTGCGCATCGGCTTTCGAGTGGCAGAGGAATAAGATGTCATCCACGTAAGGTACGACTCGGATGCCTTGTTCTCGCCAACGCCGAGCTAGTTGCTTGATGAGCTGTGTAAAGACGAATGGAGCCGTCGCGAGGCCGAATGGTAGTGAACGAAATGCGTATGTGCGCCTATCGAATTCGAAGCCAAGGAACTTCCAGCACGATGGGTGGATGTCGATGTGATGGTAACCGGATTTGAGGTCAATGGAGAACATCCAGTCCCCAACGCGCGCCAGGTCGGCGACACGGCTGAGCCCCTCGTACTTGAACTTGGGGACAATCAAGTTAGCGTTGACCTTTCTTAGATCAAGAATGAGCCTGCATTTGTCTTTTTGCTCGACCACGTTAAGTGGACTTATGCACTTGAGCTCCGTTGCGGCCATCGGAACTGCCGCTCCCGTCTCTATGAGTTCTTGGATGGCGGTACGTGTGAACGTAGCATGCGTGTTTGCCCCGACATGATTGCGATCGTGGAAAGGTTGTGGTGGGCCGTGGCTCCATGGCAACCAGTAACCCTTGGCGATGACGGAGAGAACGAGGCTGCTGGGGCACCATGAGCTCCACCACGCAAAGGTCGCGCAAAGACGACCGCACATCTGTGTAATAGTTCTGTCTGTAACGGCAAATTCGTACGGGTCATCGTAGCATGCCGCCTCGCACCGTCGTGCTCCTGTGCATGGGAGGCCAAGTGGTATACGGGTTGAGTATTCCATGTTAAAGCATGTGTGTGCATGTACATGTACGGGCAACCATTGATCAAATGTGTGAAGAAAATAACAACCGACGGAAATGTCAACGAATGTGTTGGGCGCGAAACGGCGCTTCTTCTTCTCCTCGTTTCCTCCTCCTTTTTTTTTTTTTTTTTTTTTTTTTTTTTTTTTCTGTTTTTTTTGGCCCAGCGTGCACTCGGTAGGATGTGGTTGTGCCTGCCCTTAGTGCATGGGAGATGATGCCTATGGCCATGGACACACTTGTCCATTGTGTTTCTCTTATTCTCTCTTGTTCTCTCTTTCTCTTTCTCTCTTTCTCTCTCCCACTCTCTCTCTCTCTCTCTCTCTCTCTCTCTCTCTCTCTCTCTCTCTCTCTCTCTCTCTCTCTCTCGCTCGCTCTCTCCCTCTCCCTCTCTCTTTCATGCTCTCTCTTACTC